TTTTCTTTTTTTCTTTTTTCTTTTCTATTCTTGTATATACAATTATTTCAATCAGAACGATCACACGCTTCTAACTGCGTCCGATTATTATTATTATTATTATTATTATTATTCTTATTAATTATTATTATTAATATTAATTATTATTATTGTAAAGGCTTTCTCGTAACGACTCGATTGTTTTGTTATTTTGTTTTTATTTTTTTTTTTTTTTATTTTTTTTAATGTTATAATTAAATTTTTATTTGAGGAACGTCGTTATGGAGAAAAAAAAAAAATACAAATTCGTTTCAATGATTACAATACACACAAGTACCGATCGTCGACACGCCTGCGTGATACAAATAATAAATATTTCGTTACTCGCGTTTCATTCTTATCGATAAGAGAAAATTTTTGTTGATTTATTTTTTTTTTTTTTTTGTTGTTCTCTCTATCTCACGAAAAAAAAGAATGAAAAAATTGTAATCGATTGATTTTAATCATTAAATTTGAGCATGTTCATTTGTCAAATTGATTAACTTCACCTTGATTTTAGTAATTTTATTTGAAAAAGAACAAATAATTATATTTTAGATAGAATTATTCACAAGTATATAAAATAATGATAAATAATTAGCAATTATTTATACCGTGTGTTAGAAAAAAAGTATGTATAAATCAAGTTTATAATAAATAATAAAACATAAATTGTTGTATTATATTATTAACACTTTAATGGCCGCTCACATACAACTTGTGTGTCATAGTTAGAACAACCAAGTTATTGGTTGTTATTTATTTATATAACTTTTGATATATTTAAAATTATATAAAATTATATTTGTTGTTTTTCTTTTTAATGTTAGTTTTTTTCGTAAATTTAATAAAGTCTTTTTAAATGAATTTTTCAAAAACATTACCGGCCTACGTTTGTTTGACCTACGTAGAGACGGTGCGGCCATTAAAGTAATACACTAGTCATCATTATTAAAATATTTGTTATTTATTATTATTATAATAATTCTAATTGTTAAATAAATATCAAATTGTAAATGGAAAATAATTCATTATCGATCAAAATAATTTGTTGTAAAAGGAAATTGAATGAAATATTTATGAGTGAAGTTAATCGTAATGATTCTGAGAATGGCGCTCATTTTTGCTTTTTTTTTTGTTTTTTTGTTTTTTGTAATTAGCGATCAACCGTTAAATCGTAAAATACTTTCGTCATTTTTTCATTACTTAATATATAAGTATATTTCAATCGTCTTAGTCGAAGGAATACTTTTATTTGAATTTGCAAAAGTGAAATGTATTTTTGTGAATGTTGTTTTGACTGTCCATTTCTTTCTCTTTTTTTTTTCTCTTTTCTTTTTCTTGTGGACATATAAAAAACCTTCATTTCATTGCCAATACGTTCGAAGTTCGGTACTGTTCCTTTTTTTTGTTTTTTTTTTTGTCAAAATTAACATTACATTTTGTTTATCGACACGACGACGACGACGATGACGATGACGATGACGATGACGATGACGACATATCCGCAACGAAAACGACCATATAATTAAAATACAATTTATATAATTATAATGTTTTAATATTTCAACTAACGCGTATCCCATTCGCATTACTATTATTTATACTTATTTATTTTATAATTTATTAATATTATTATTATTAATATAAATAAATTACACACACGCATGTAGTAATTGTCGAAAAGGGAAAGCGTTCAAAGTTTCATGATACTTTTTCTTTGTGCAATACCAATTAATTACATTGATTGTAAAAAAAAAAAGTGCAACAATAATATATATAATATATTATATTAATACATATATTATTTGTTAGTATAATATATTGTACTAATTATTATTATTATTATTATTATATTATACTATTATATTATACTAATAATATAATAGTATAATAAATAAATATAATATATAATATTATTATTATTTTATAATATTAATATTATAATATAATATTATTAATAATTAATTTACATTATTAATATTATAATATAATATTATTTATAAATAAATAATACCTAAATATATATATATATATAATAATACAAATAGTAAATATATATTATACTATATATTATAC